CTACCTAAATTCATTCCACTCAAATCCTTCTTTGTCCAAAACTGCTTCAGCTGAGTAAATTGAATGCTCCAAAATCAAGCAGGCTTAAGTTCCAATCCAGTCCAGCCACTTAGCATTGGGCAATATATTAAGCAAATTAACCTCTCCCAATTTAATTTCTCCATCTATTAAATGGGGATTAAACCATCACTGGAGAATTAAATCTTCACTGAAGAGTGACCAAGTCAACTATTTGTCAGTCCCCTCCCTTGGGGCAGGGATTCATTGTTGGGGGCAGGGGCTCTCAGCTTGACCCCACATTTCTCTTGTACAGCTCCCAAGTTTACCCACTGGACACCAATAGCCATCTTGGCAAAACTGTGACAACCAAATGACCTCCGAGGGGCCAGTGTGCTGGCTTCTCTTCTTTTCTCTTCACCCTCTCCTTCTTCCCCTCCACGCCCCCTCCCGCCCCGCCTCCGGTCCTGTTGGCTCTCCCTCTGGCATGTCCCCTGACTGGGGCCAGCACTTCTCAGCCCAGCCCGTGGCCAGTGCACACTTTCCAGCAAATATCCTTCTGCCATCACGTCTTTCCCTATCTCCCCACGGTGGGCTGCCAAAATGCACAGCCAATGATGTGTGTTAAGGTTCTCTTAAGTTGCTAGGCCAAACCAGTGTTACCTGGAAGATAAAGCTCTTTTTCTTCCTCATCTTTCCTACCTGCCTAAACCCATGGATGAGTATGGGACCTCCCTTATCACCCCCTCCCCCAACCCACTTGACAGCTTCTTAGACCAAGATCCATTACCGACATGTATGTTTATGTTTCAAGGTTGGCTTTTTCTTTATTGCTGTTCTGAGGGGTTTTGTTGTTGTTGTTTGTTCATTTATCTGTCTTTGGGAGGGGAAAGGGGCACAGAAATGGAGGGACAAAGGGTGAACAAATGCAGCGGTGGTGCTCATTAGACACTATATTGAAAATGAACTTGTGGGTGGGAAAAACTGGGAGAAAGCGAGGGAAAGGGTGATATTGCCCAAAAAAGAAATATACTCTTTTCCTTTTTTTTTTTTTTTTTTGGTCAGTTGTGGGCCTGGGCGCTGTCCCTCAGCTCTTCAGCTCAAGGCGAATGCTCTACCACTTGAGCCACAGTGCTACTTCCTGTTTTCCCACTTTCCTGCCCAGGCTGGCTTTGAACCGTGATCCTCAGATCTCAGCCTCCTGAGTCTAGGATTACAGGCCTGAGCCACCGGCGCCCGGGAAGAAATATACTCTTTACCTGACTTACATAACTACAGCCCCTCTGCATATCACCTTTGCAATAACAAAAGAGAAAAAAATCAGTTTAAAGATCTCCTCTAGGGCCCCCCCCACCCCATTCCAGAATATGACAGGGGCAGAAACAGGGCGGCACAGCTGCTGCCTCAGCCTCCAACCAACGTGACACCCCAGAGGGCAGGGTCCCCTGCTCTCCTCCCAGTTTAAGGAGAGTCTGTGACCAGAGCTCAGAAGGATAGAGTGGGCGTTCTAAGCAATATTGAGCTGAGAGAATTCACCAAGGCCCAGGTACAGGGAGTCACCAAGCTCACCAGGTTTGGGGACACCAGACCACAGCTGGGCAGTCCACAGTCCACAGCCTGACCAGGGTATGCCCTCCTTAGAGCCCAACCAGGAAGCTCCATTAACTGTGGTTGCTTGACAACAATGTACTTTGGACAGGAGTAGTGAGTGATGGGTATAGAACAGGAAATGGAAGCTAAAGCGATAAAATGCCTGCCTAGAAAATTCAAACCCCAATACCACCAAGAAACAGAGGAAGGAAGGAAGGAAGGAAGGAAGGAAGGAAGGAAGGAAGGAAGGAAGGAAGGAAGGAAGGAAGGAAGGAAGGAAGGAAGGAAGGAAGGAAGGAAGAAAGGCAGGCAAGTGAGCTTTCGAGCTTTAGTTGGATTAAAACCATGAGGAATTGTCAAGCTTGTTCTGGTGTGTTAGGCATCAGTTGTGAGGTGGTCATTATTTAGAGATGGTGATGTCTCATTAGGCCAGGAATTGCCTCTTCACTGGAGAGGTAGCCAGGTATTCCAGGCCTGGACTTCTTAAGCTCTTGTGTGCATGAGAATGATCTGCGGTGAGGTCTGAGCATCTGTGACTCTTAGCAAGCTCCAGGTGACAGGGCTACTGCCTTTTTGCTGGTCTGTCACCCTGTGGGTGGCTACCAGTGGAACTTGGATCAGGGGTTCCCAGGCTGGGAACACCTTGGGAGCCTGGTAGGTGAGGGAGGTGATTGTAATTAGTCTTCCCAAGATAATCTAACTTGCTACCAGGAAGCAACATTTGCCTTCACCCCTGTACCCATTGTCCATCATCAGTGCTGCCATGGCTTCTGGGCTAAGTTCTTTGCTGCTGATTTATTCTAGCTGGTGCCCAGGTGAGTTTTTTGTCCCTCTGAGGCTCAGACTACCCACCTGTGAGTCAAGTGTGAACTGACTCACAGTCCTGCACACAGTGGTATGTGTAGTCACAGCACCTGAGTCTCAGGTGGATCTTATCGCAAAACCCACAGGTGGTACCTTCCTCCACGAGGCTGTCAGATAGTGTAGAGCCCTTCTCTCACTGGGCTCACTTGATGGGCTCTCTTCACTCAGAAACAGAATAAAGGGTATCAGTGGTAGAGACACCCATTGGAGTCTACCCAGGATAAGGCTCCACCCACTGCTGGAGTAGGAATAGGGTCAGGGACAGCTTGACTCTTTCTCCAAATTCTGTCCAATTTCCTGGCCCCTCTGTCCCACCTACTCACCCCCCCCCCTTCACTGATGCCTCGCCCTCCCTCCTCAGCCCTCTGAAGGATCTGGAAGAAACTAGGTCACAGGGAGGAACTACCTGGTTGTTTCTGAAAAGGTTTGGCCCAGGTGAACAGCAGCATTTGTGAGGCCAGCAGAAAGAGAGGTAAAACAAAACACCAAAAACAAAGCAGCACTGTGAAGAGGGCATGAGAGTTGGGAGGCATCAGGAGGACCCTGTTCTCTGGGCCGTGGTTTCCTGGGGAAGAAATGGCCTCCCAGTCCCCACCTGTCCACCCTGCATCCGAGGCTCACAGAGCTAATTCCAGTTCAAGTGCTTAGCTGCCCACAAACAGGGTTCCAGGGATTAGAGGCAGAGTCATGCCGTAGGCCCAGGAGAATGACAGCTGACTCCTGAAGGAAGCAGGCACAGAAAGGGCACTGTCCTGGCTCTCATCTGCCTCTGATGGCCAGAGGCTTTGAAGGAGGAAGCTACCCCCTGACCTCTTACCAGCTGCTCAGGCTGTCTCTCCCATGAGTTCTCCGGGTGGCTCTGAGAGGCTCGTTCTACCTGGAGAAGGGAAAATAGCCCTTCATGCCTCCCTTCAAGCAGCTTTCAAAACGCTGCACCTCCATGTGCCTGCATGTTCCTGTGTCTGACCTTGCACTAATTTCTTGGACTTAGCCCTGAGGACCAGTTTTTCTGAGGTAAATGGTGGAGAGGCTGAGATCTGGAACAAATATACGCCTCTGTGGAGCAGCTCCCTTGCTACAAAGCTTTTCCCTGTGGCTTGAAGGGTTTTCAGTCCAGCCCTGCTCAGTTCAAGAGGAAGAGACACAATAAGTTAGAAACAAATAGGGATTGGACCCCCTAAGAGACATATACGCCATTCCTGATTCTCCCTTCCCATTGGGTATCTCTAGTTTCAGGCTCCATTCCAACTTTCTCTAAGAAGATGTCTTCTTCTGAGCAAAGCCTCTACCAAGCTGCCTGAGCCCTTCCTACCCTCCCCCACCTACACACACACACACACACACACGCATGCACGCACGCACGCACGCACGCACGCACGCACACAGCTGCCTCCTCTGTCTCCCAGATCTCTCATGGACTGCCCTCCACAAGCCAGGACTTGTTGTCTGGCCTCATTTTCTGCCTCCAAGTTCAGGTTCCCAGGGCAGCTGTACAAACCTATTTGTTAGGTAGATACTTTTCCATTTGTTTATAATTAACCATAATTTCCTAATCCTCATCAAGGCATCTTAGAAAATAGCCTTGGGAGTCACTTTTGGGTATACGGAACAATTTAGATGCTAAAACATTATGGATTGAAATAATTAGAAAAGTTATAAGTAGATTATAAATGACAAGCAGAATTATAAAGGGAATACCTCAAAATACTTTACGTTGAGGCTATCTTAGAAAATTCAAGATCTACAGTCATTAGATATTTTCTTTCTTTCTTTCTTTCTTTTTTTTTTTTTAAGGACAAACATTTCTCACAAGACTGCAGGTTAAGAAGCCATCACTCAGGGCCCCACCAAATTTGGTATCTTATTAGACAGACAGACAGACAGACAGACGAATTTCTTACATCTGCAGGCAAGCCAAACACTGCAAATACTTGAGTACTCATCATTGACACTCCTTCCCCGTTTTCCACATCCCCCTCTCATTCAGTCTGCTCACCCCCAATCAGCACATTACATGGTTTTTCCATGAACTATACTTTATTGGATTTTGAAGTATTGGCCCACGTCTCAATGGATTTCAAAGCAAAGGACAGAAGGAAATATGCATGGCACCGGGGGGAAGGCTGCCCCCTCTTTCCCAAGGCTCTGGCTCACAAGGGCCCTGCAGTCTGACCCAGCCCTGCGGAGCAGATTGCTGGACCTGAAGGTGACCAAGCCACACTTTAGCGCCCCCTCCTCCAGTCCTTTCTCAAAGACAGATTATTTCTAGCCTCCTTTAGGCCTTCAAGTCACTATCACCACCACAGCAGCTCCATGACCACTGGGACCACGCCAGGCTGGCTTCCTTCCCTTCTGCCATTTCCATAAAGTTCCCTCTCCCCCACCCCAGGGACAAAGCGAGGCCCCCTGCACCAGGAGGAGGGCCAGGGGCAAGAGTTGGCTTCGGAAGCTGTCCCTGCCCGAGGGCTCCCCCAAGGATACCCACCCTGGGCACTGGTGGGTCTCCCCACAGCTCTCTGGGAGGCAAGGGCAGGGAGAATGGGGGCTTCTTAGTAGGAGGGCTGCTGTGGGCCCTCCTCTGAGGACGGCTCCTCCTCGATCAGCTCCAGGTCGAACTCATCCTCCAGAGAGCCCCCGACCGGCAGCAGGCGGAACTTCTTTCCCTTCAGGGTGCAGGTGCGGTGCTCGAAGTCCAGGACGGCGTTGTGGTCCTGCAGCACATCGGTGCCGATGATGGCTTCTTCCGCGCTGGCGTTGGCCACCAGGAACTCGGCCTTCAGCTTCAGCTTGCCCAGGGACACCACGGTGTCCCAGACGCCCAGGATCTTCATTTCGGCCCCGTTGGCCACCTTCACCACGTTCTCAAAGGGCCGCAGGGTATCCAGATCGCCGTCCGTGACCTCCTCCCACAGGCTGGGGTGCACCACGGACACCTGCGCCCCCGAGTCCACCAGGAACCTCACGGGCACGCCGCCGATCTTCCCCTTCAGGTAGTAGCCCTTACCCATGCTGTTGGCGAACACGATCTCTTTGGGCCGGAAGCCCTGGGCCTGCCCGGGCCCCCCGAAGGCCTTCAGGAGGGTGTCCTTCACCACCGCGTAGTCCCCCTGGTCGTGCGCACTGAGTCCGTTGTAGACGTCCAGGGCGTCTCCCCTGAGCGCCTCTTTCAGGAACCGGAGCTTGGTGGCGTGGTCCCAATGGTTGAGGTCATCGATAACCTCGAAGTGGTGCAGCCAGCGGCTCGGGGCTACGTTGGCGCCGTCGAAAGGCTCGGGGATGAAGGCATGCTCCCGGCGGCCCGCCTGGGTCCTGGCTCCGCTCGTGGCCATCCCTCTGCTCGCCTGCGGAACCTCAGCAGCAACCCACGCCAAGGAGAGAAGGCCGCAGAGCAGTGTGGGCGCAATCACGCTGGAGGACAAGGCCTGTCTAAGCAGCGCTGAGTCCTTGCCCCGCCTGGGCAAGCAGAAGGGAGCAGACAAGGGCTGTCTGGCTGACTGATGGGCACGGAGGAGCAGGCAGGCAGTTTGCTGTGGCCTGATCTCTCTGCAGAGCCTTTTTGATGCCTGGCATGCGCCCCCGGGGCTCCCCATTCTCCTTTGTTCTGGAAGCTCCACCCCCCCCTCGGCCCCGCCTTCTGGCCAGCATCCTGCCCGACTAGCAGGATGGGTGCCTCACCCTGCTGTACCCATCCATGGGATTGACCCAGGCCAGCCCACGTGGCAAGAAAGGCAGTCTCCGTGGGGGCTGGGGGTAGGTAGGTACCCTCCCCAGCTTGTGTCCTGAATAACCCAGATGAAGACACAGGCTGTGATGACATTCAGGTGTTTGTCATTAGCCAGAGGAGGGAGGGGGGCGGCAGGGACCAGACTCCATCTGCTTTTAGTTTGGAAAGCCCCTTTTGGCCTTACCTAACTGAGTGGTCAAAGGGAAGGACCCTGTGTGTACTGAGCTCCCAGTATTCCCGGGCACTCATCTGGGGGTCTATTGTATATTCCAAACCAAGTATGGGATCCTGAAGATTCCCTAGAGAAGGAGACAGAAGAGGATCTCAGACAGCATTCTTTTTCTTTTGGGGGACGGGGTCTGTCATGGGGCTTGAACTCTGGGCCTGGGCGCTCTCCCTGAGTTCTTTTTTGCTCAAGGCTAGGACTTTACCACTTTGAGCCACAGCGCCACTTTCAGAAAGCATTCTTTAAGTGAGGTAGGACAGATGCACGCACACACACAACCTCAATTTCTGAAGTAATATGCCTTTATCAGTCACCCCTAATTCAGAGTCTTCCCTTTTCCAGGGTAGACCTGACCCCATGGGCTTCCCTTAATGCCCAGGAGTGGGCTAACATGGTCTTCTGGATGTGGAGGTGAATGAAGCCCAGGATCTGACTCCAACTCTGAGTGGGTCCTTCTGAGTTGAGTGAGGGAAACATCTGCGGTGTTGCCATGACACTGAAAAGGGCCTGGAAGGCTTTGGCTGGAGAAGGGAATCTGGATGACATGTTGCCCCTCCACTTCTAGGGTGAATGACAGACCTGTATGTACCATGGAGGTCCATGGGGGTAGATCTGTGAGCCCGAGGACTGGAGCCTGGCTGCAGTGAGGTTGGGGCCATTGGAAAGACTCAGTTTTATGACTCTGTTCAAATATCACCTCCATGTAGCTTTCTCTTCCATCCTTAGTACCTGTACATACTTGCAGCCAAACGCATGTTACAAGGTGCACTGATGGTTTGTCCCCAAGTCTATCTCCTGCAACAAACTAGTCTCTGGCTCACAAACCAGCCATTTGTGACTGTCTCTAGGCTTCAATAGAAACTTACTCTGGGACCCAGGAGGTGAGCTCTAAGTCTGCCTGTGTGTTGTCACCACAGGAGACATGAAGAATGGAAAAGGAAAGATGAATGGAAAAGGAAAAGGCCTCAGCGGCACAGTTGTGACTCTGGGCTGCTTTTCCTGGCCAAGATCCTGCCCCTTGACAGTTCTTTATGCCATTCATTACCTAGTACCTGGCTGAATCCCCAATGTACCTGGCTCATTCGTGCCTCTGGAAGTCCCAGGGTCCCCAAGCACACTTCAACACCCTCAAGCTCTGCTCCTGTGTTCGACACCTTTGACCTGACACAGTGAGCCAGCAGAGAAGCACTTGGTCAACACCTCTCGCCATAGCTGCCCGGCTAAGGAGGGGCATGGTGGCATTCCAGGAGTCGGGAAGAGGGGGAAGTGGAGCACTGGGAACATGTCAAGTGCAGGTGAGCCTCTGAGAAGATTACCCAATGAAAACCGTGCATCTAGAAAAATAGTCTAGCCACCCACAAGACCAGGAAGCCCCTTCTGCCAGTGAACTTGCATGGATAGACTTGGGACTGTTGGGATGGGCGTGGTTCCATGGTCTTGGGGCTGGCCCAGTGGCTTCCTGCCTCCCAGATATTTGTCACCTCACCCACTTGGGCTCTTGGAAGTGGGGATGTGTGAGGAGGCTATCATGTGACTCGGGGAGGGGAGAGAAGGGACGGCTTGTCAGCTGACAGAGCAGGACTGCTACATGTCCTACACCGACTCTTCAAACCACAATTCTAGATATTCAAGTCACAGCTCCTTGTGGCTCTGACACTAAGATTAGGTGTCTCTTAGGACACTATTTGCCTGAGTTTAGAGTTCACTTTAGCAAAGTCCTTTCACATCGCTCACTTCAGTGAGCACCATGGCAACCTAACCAGGATGGTCCATATTCTAGGACCTCAAAGCACAGCAGGTGCCAAGCCATCCAGGTTGGGTAAGGGAATTTTGAAGAAGAAGAAAAAAAAACAGACAGAAGGTGCAGGGCTTGGCTTGGGAAGGCTGACCTGATGTCCTCAGGGTTGGGCTTTGGGTGGCCTCTCACGGGGACAGTGGCCCCAGTGCACAGTGAAGCAAGAACTGAGTGCTAAATGTTCAGGAATTTGCTAAGCCAATTGGTAGCTCGAAATTGGATGTCGTGGGAGTATTTACATCGCAGAAATTGGAGAATGCTAAATCGGGACTTTTTTTTTTTCTTTCTAGAAAGCCACTTTATTTTTTGCGTGGAGGCCCGGAAATCCCCCTCCTTTCTCTCTCTGTCTCCCTCCCCTCCCCCCTCATTAAGTTATGGCAATCTCCACTCCTCAGGTGCCTAGACTCTGTGTAATAGAAGAAACCAGCCCCACCTGGCCCGCAACCTTCTCCATTGTCCCCCAGTTTAAGGAAGCTGCGGCCAGGAGCCTTTCCACAGGGAGGCCCTGGAGGACCCCTGTTCACATCTCTATTGCACAGCACGGCATGTGCTGGTTACCCTGACTGCTGGAAGGGGTCAGAGGTCAGCCTTTGGCTGAGTTTCTGCGGCCAGAATCAGGAACATGGTGGAGATAACTTCTCAGGTGTTTTAGCCCATCCATGGAACAACCCAAAAGCACGCAGGCAGGGCCTTTGAAATGGCTATGGTAAGTCATGGGGCTAAACCAGCTGGGGCAGGCAGGGAGCCTCCTCCCAGAACCCAGCACATGGCAGTAATTATTGACAAGTATAGGTATTGGGGTGGAACACCCTCATTATCACCCCATTAGCATCTCCTGAGTGTAAATCAGGCACTCTGAACTTGGCTGAGAGAAGGTAACAAACAGGAAGGACTTAGGGAATCCCCACCCTCTACACCTCCTCATGGAAATTTCTCGAGGGTGAGCGCTACTGGCCCAATTCTGTCCTGACACCCTGGTTCTCTTTTCCATTTCTCTTCCCCTACAAGAGTTGAGCAAGCTGGGCGCCGTGGCTCATGCCTGTAATCCTAGCTACTCAGGAGGCTGAGAACTGAGGATGGCGGTTCAAAGCCAGCCCCGGCAGGAAAGCCCGTGAAACTCCTATCTCCAATAAACCACCAGAAAACTGGAAGTGGCACAGTGGTAGAGTGCTTGCCTTGCATGCATGAGGCCCTGGGTTCGATTCCTCAGCACCACATAAGCAGAAAAAAAAAAGCCGGAAGTGGCACTGTGGCTCAAGTGGTAGAGTGCTGGCCTTGAGCTGAAGAGCTAAGGGACAGCGCCCAGGCCCAGAGTTCAGGCCCATGACCGACCAAAAAAAAAAAAAAGTTGAGCAGAGGAGCAAGAGTCCAGAGCAGGGGCCTTCAGCCCCCCAGAGATTGAAGCCCTCGGTGAGCAGACAGACACCGTTACGTAGTCTGCTGCCTGAAGACCTCTGAGGAATACAACAGGGGTTTAAGGAGGAGCCCAAAGCCTTCAAAGTCCTGTGAGGTGGAGCCATGACCCACAAGGCAAGCTGGGGAATGACAGGCCTGGGAGCAGACCTGCTCTTCTACTCAGATCGTTTTCAACAAGGAGCTGAGAGCAAGAGACAACTAGGGACAGTGATGCCCATCATGAAGCCCTGCCTGGAACAGGAGGCGGCTCTGGAAAATGGAGGTCAGCCTGTGTCATGCACAGACCCTCTCTGTGGCTCCCTCTCTGCTGAGGCAGAGGAGCAATGAGAGAGGGGGGGAGGGGAAAAAGAAAAAGAACAACAAAAAGATTAAAAGAGAGAAAAAACCCACTCCACATACTGTACACACATCTTGTACATGGGAAACACATGCTGTATACACACTATGCACATGCTATGTACACAATATACACGTGCTATATACACACTATGCATGCACTGTATACACACTATGCACATGCTGTGCATGCATTGTGCACAGCACACGGTGCATACACTCTATGCATATGCTGTATACACACTGCACATACTGCACACACTGCATACTGTGTACACACTATCCATACAATGTGCACACACTATGCACACACTGTTTACATGCTATGCAACATGCTGCATACACATACGTACACACTGTATACACGCTATGCACACCGTGTATACATACCATGCACACACACTGCATCCATGCTATATGCACATGTGTATACATACAGTGACCCCAGGGTTCTCAGATGAAAACAGCCAAGACATTGTGTAATGTGCACGTGGAATGAAGCTCCCATCTTTTGTTTTGTGTATTCATTTGCCCTTGCATTGCCAGTGAGTATTAAAATCCTATTTATTGGAAGCACCTGCTGTTTATTAGCCTCTAGGCACACTTGCTGCTTTAGAAAACTAGGCAGGTCCCATCCCCATGGCTTACAAGCTAATGAAAACAGGATGCAGATGTTTAACAGCCAGGTTTTGAAGAGTTTAAGACCAATGTGTATGTGTAGGCTGACCCACTTCAAGCAGCCCCCAGTCACAACCACGCCGCTTTGAAGGAGCCAGTTTTTAAGTGGGTCAGCCTGTCTTCTGCTCCTTCCCACCAGAGGCGAGGACCTGGGGCACTTGGTCTTTCTACCCTGGGGCACTTGCCACAGCTCCCCACCCAGGCCACCCCAAAGCCCTGTCCCAGCTTGCATGTATAGGGGGGGTTGGCAGCTGCTAGGAGCGCTGTCCCCAAATACATTCTTCTTCAGCCATTGCTGCAGGAAGCTATGGCACTTCAAGCTAAAAAAGAAAATGAAGAGGTGAGTCTGCTACAGCAATCTACCCAGAGCCTCAGATAGGAGCCCAAGGGGGCTC